AGAGAGAGGGAACGAATATATATATATATATATATATATATATACAATTTTCTCTTGCTTTATATAAACACAAACACATTTATACATTTGATTTCATATAAAAGCGAGTGAGACTGCCAAAGTAGTAAGCGAGATTCCACCTGGGAGAGAAAGAAAATAGCATAGTTTGCTATAGAGCATAAGTAAACTAAACTATATTTATAACATTTAATTAATAGTTTGACGTTATTATACACATTTTTCCTTTAATTTTATTAGAAAATATTACATAAGTTAGGCAATACATGTAATATATATGTATTTGTTATACACAGTTATAGTTTAACAAGAATAACAATTTGTATTATGTAAAATTTTGTAATAAAATTATCTCTCCCTGTCATTTCCTTACCTCTCTCCGCACTTTACTTCTATCATCTTGCTTTCTCCACTTTCTCGCTCGCTTATTTTTCTATCTATGCAATATAAATACAAATGATAACACACAATGTTATAAATACAATAAATGATAACAATCAATAATATAAATAAAAATAAATGATAATAATTAATGGTACAAATACAAATGGTAAACACAAACACACAGGATAATACATAAATATAATATGCAAGGTACCATATGGATACAAATATAATTTGTTATGAAATATAACATTGATATAATTGTATTTGTTGATGTAAATTGTATCTAGATACAAATTCTATTCATTAATATACTTGATATAATTGGTCTGCATCAACGGATTGAATACAATAGTCTTTGATACAATTTCATTCATTGATGATACAAATCAATTGTATTCATGATACAGTATCAATTGTATCACTTTCTCTCCTCTCTCTCTCTCTCTCTTCTCCTCCTAACTCCCAATATTGCACGTCTCTCTCCTCCATTTTGTAGCTAGTTTTTAATACAAATCAATTATATCAGTGATACAATTATCAATAAGATATACAATTCAATTACATCTCTTTTATCTCTCTCCTCTATCTTTCATATATTGTTCGCCTCTTATATCTCTATCTCAATTTCGCACACATCTATCTTTTTTTTAACATGTAACTATGAATCGTAATTAGACAAAATAAAGCTATAGAGCTCTAATTATACTTAAATAATAGTGTCTTTGTTCTTCTTTTTTTCTTTTTAGAAAGTTTCTCATCATTATCGTTTCTAACTTTAAATGATTTAAGCTGAATTACTACTTTTAAAATTAGCAAATTCAATGGTAGCTAAAACATGACATCCAACTCTCATCAAATATCTTATTTTAAATTTTAATATATATATATTATGTTAACAATGGAAGGTGAAACTTTAATTCGGACTTGCCATATACTCATATTGTGATTCGAATTAGGACCCCTTAACTATTGAGCCAACTAAACGAGACATTTCTATGATTTTTTTGTCTCTAATTTATTTATTTTTTAAAAATATCATTCATAGTTTACTTTCGATGATATAATTTATTTTATCACATTGTATGTTAGATTCTTGTTATCATACAATTTTTGAATGATAGTTCGAGTAATAATTTGCATAAAGTATAAAAAATTTCATATGAGGACTAATTACGTCTTGTTTCGGATGTTTTTCCAATAAGAAAAAAATTTGAATTTTTCATTGCTTTCAGATATATTACTTGTCCGATATATTGTAAATGACACTTACTTAATGGGAGGAATGTATCTTAGAGGGGTAGATATGTATTAGAAAGGGCATGAATGTATCCATGAAGGGAATTTTTTGTAATTTTTAAAAAATGATAAGAAATTTTGAAGATTATAATATCTATCGTGTATTCATGTAATTTTTCCTAATAATTTCCTATTAAAATCTTAATTTGCAGCATTTGAGTATCATTAATGGAGCTGAATTGGGCCTGTCTACATATCTGGGCCTAGGACTCTTACATTGGGCCCATTAATGAACAACGTACACCGTGGGCCTTGGGGTCTGGTTATCTTCAGGCCCACAATCCCAGTGGATTATGAACATGAAAATGTGTAACTATACAACCCCTATTAAATCGGGGAAAGTTACGGATATATATTATTCGGCCAACTAATTTATCAACATGATCCATATAACATATACACTATTTAAAGTTAATTACATTGACTGCGCGGTTCATAATTAATGATAAATATCAAAAATTATTTCTTTAACTTTTTTCCTTAAGAGTTCTTTATTACTTTTTCTTTTCCATATTTTCTGCTCTAATTTTCCCACCACCACAGTTATATCCTTAATCATGGGAAAAAAAGCATAATCATTTTAATGTTTTTTAAATTGTCTTAAAAAAATCTCTTTTAATTAATTAGTTTGACGAAATTAACAAGATCGAAGAAAACCATCATATATAAATACTAATTTCAATTTCCATGTGTTAAAACTATAGTTAGCTAGTCTTACATACTTACAATGGTTTAGGTATATATATCGATATCATAAAAATTACATCATCAAGCTATCTAAAAGAATATAGAAATAATCTTATACAGAGATCGAGATATATAATATTAGAAATAAGATAAATTGTCTAAATCAACAAGTAATATTACGCGATAATATAGTAACTATACACTATATATGTATATACAAGTTAAATTAAACTGTTATCAACAAAGAAAACCTAGAGAGCTAGCTATAGAAGAATACTTACAAGTTTTAGACAATGAAAGGATCGATGTTACATATGGGCTTTGATGGGAAAAGACAAACCAAGACAACCACAAGTACAAAGTCTTAACATAATAAGGATACTCAAAAATTAATTTGATCAAATATTATATACATATAATTTTTTTTTCAATATGTCACATTTAACAAGTAGGTTAAAACAATTTAATGTGAAATGCATGTATACTGAACTTTGATTGCAACCTCTTATAAGTTGCATCTTAATTTAATGTGAAATCATTATATGCCTTCTGATTGCAACCTATCCATGTTATGCCCTTCATATATATGGTCAAATAATTGTGTTGATGGGGACTTGGAAAAACCTATATGCCTCATCACTTATGGTATATATTGCTCGAACGCTCCTAATATGATATTGCACGTATTCGTTCTGAATCCTCCTAAAACACAATTATGGTCGATATTGTTCGAACTCTTTGAATATGATACTACACGTACTAGTTCTGAATCCTCCAAAAATGTACTATTTCTGAAATATCCGACGCACCATACTTAATTAATTACATCTATAAATATATTTTCAAGAATTTCACCTATTTCCTATGGTAGACGTTAAATTAATTAATGCACCTTCCAAAAACATATACCAAACACACACACACCCCTTAATAATTTTGTACCAATAGTGAAGAACATTGAATAGTGTTAGGTGATTGCCTAATTATTACAACCTTTTTTTGGCCAAAATCTTGAAATGGAGTAATGATGTGAGATCATAACTTGTGGATTTGGTTTATCCCAAGTTCCAAGTTGTGTCTAAGGTTCTCTATATTTACTCAAAATTCACTATTGTTTTTAACTTTTAACCCAAAAAAAAGTGAAAATTTTGAGATAAGCCTACACTACTTTCAAGTTTCAATGATTTGTCTCCATCACCTGCACAACATATATGCATATGCTGGTTTATAGCCTGTAAGGTTAATTTTCACAGTCGACAAGATCAGTTATGTATAGGTAAATTATTGCATATATATCATCGAAAGACCGTACTGTGCTTGATTGATTGAGATCTTCACTATATGTATTGGAAGTTTCACGTTCAAGTTTTACAAATGAAAAATATTTCGCTAGAGAGTAGTGATGAAGTCAAGATCTTCATTAAGAAAAATTAAAATATATCGAAGTAAATACAGAATAATGTGTCGTCAAAATGTTTTTTAACTATCTATTTTACAAGATACATTTTTCTTGGCGTGTTGGACAAAGATGACTCTGCCCGATGTTATAAAACATTTTTACTATCTTATTGGACCTAATAAACGACATGCATTTGAATTAACAAGATAAATATTATTGCACCACGTAGATCGATCGTGTGTACGGTACCATATTTAGATGTACGTTTTTATCACAAAAAAAAAAAACATTTCGATTTTATTTTTTCGTTTACATGCATCCATATTAATCCATGGCCCCTATGTACGTACCCAACAACCTCCTCTAGAAGATGGAGACAGAAAAATAATTAATTAATATATATATATATATATATATATATATATATATAGTGTGTGTGTGTGTGTGTGTGAG